CGCTCTTCCTGTAACCAGGGCTGCAGACCTGAAGGGCCCTTCCGCGGTGAGAAGGCTTGTTGTCCCGCACACAGCCGTCTGAGCCTGACCAGTGGGCTCCGGTGCTGACAGGCCACTCCCGTCACCGTGGAGTTGGCTCCTCCCCGTTATAACCAGCAGGCAGTCTGCAAAAACACAGCTCTCCACCAGCCCCCATCTGTTGGTTTCATCATCTGTTGATGGTCATTGCCAAGTTCATTTCTTCATTAGGCAGTATAAAATGGTGCTTTACAATCCTATCATTCCTTGTACAGCCCTCGGCTAGAATGCTTCTATATAAAAGAGCCCTGTGGTGCTGCTGAAATGCAGGCCTGCAGCTGTCAGAACAACACCCACGCAAAGATGCCCACCCAGGTCCCAGTCTCCCAGATCTGTGCGTATGTGGCAAAGGGCACTTTGCAGATGTGAAGACATTAAGAATCTTGAGACGGGAGGTTGCCCTGGATCGTCCTGGGGGGCCCCCAAGTAATCGCGGGGCCCTTAGAAGAGTGACGCAAGAGGACCAGAGTCAGAGGAGACCTGAGGATGCAGCAGAGGTCTGAGAGAGACAGACTGGAAGGTGCCGCCTTGCCGCTCTGAAGACGGAGGGAGGGGCCGAGAGCACAGGCGCCTCTCGGACGGAGCCAGAAAAGGCGTCCAGGAGCCTCTTCAGAAGCAACCAGCCCTGCCCACACCCCGACCGTAGCCCAACAGCACAGACTTCTGGCTCCTGGCCCCCAGAACTGTAAGATATACAAATGTATGTTGTTTTAAGCCACTAAATAGGAACATGAAATGAATGCAGCTCAACAGAAAAGGCGAGAATGAGGCTTCATTCTCCACCTTTACTTCCGATTCTCAGAGCAGAACTGGTGAGCCAGCAACAGGCAGTGTCACCACCTGCATCCAGGCGGCTGCCATAACAAGTGTGTGACACGACACGCATTTACCCTCGCACTCTTCTGGAGGTCAGGAGCCCATAACGACCCTGTGACGGCACGTAGGGCCCACCTGGGTAATCCAGGACCACCTCCCAGCTCAAGACCCTTACCTTCATCGTGCCTGCAAAGTCCCCTTTTGCCAGGGAAAGTGACTATCTACAGATTCCAGAGATGAGGACCTGGGTAAATCCAAAAGCAGTCAATGAAATTGCGTTTTTCACTTTCTCGTCACGGTTAAGGGTGTGCAGGGGTGTATACACTCAGTGTGTTTTGCTCAGCTGCAGTTATTACTGCCCTTGGCCTCTGGCTAGGGGGCTCCTCCGGCAGCGGGTGCAGGTGCTTCTGCTACATCCTTGTGTTGGGACCGGAGTGCACAGCCCAGGTTCGTCTTGCTGACTTCTTGCCTCCCATCTGGATGGGCCATTCCTCTAGCGAGGAGTGGTACTTAGAAACCAACATCCAGACCCAAGAGGTGCTCACTGCGGCTGCTGCCATCGCTACTGGACGTCGTCAGGGCAGAGCAGAGGAGTGACATTTCAGCGCGTGTGCTCCCTGAACACCTCAAAGTTACTTCACTGATTCACATGATCATTTCAGCCAAATTGAACACGGGAGGGCTTTACTTGCCTTTGTTGATTTTATACTTGATCTCATTTCTCTTACACTGAAAATCTTGGTTCCTAACAACAGTAAGATAATTGCTTATTTACTTTAACCTACAATATACAATCACCCCTCGGTATCCGTGGGGGATTGGTTCCGGGACACACACACCCCCCACAGGCAGGTACCAAAATCCACAGATGCTCAAGTCCCTTATACAAAATGGCATAGTATCGGGTTGGCCAAAAAAGTTCGTTCGGGTTTTAACATGAGAACTTTTTGGCCAACCGAATATTTGCACATAACCTACACACACTCTCCCGTGTACTTTATACCTAATACCATGTCAGTGCTGTGTAAATTGTTGCCTGTGTGAGGCAAATTCAGGTTTTAAATTTCTGGAATTTTTTTCAAATGTACTCAATCTGTGGTTGGTTAAATCCACAGATGTGGAACCCATGGATATGGAGAGCCAATTGTACATAAAAAGCTTAGAAAATAACAAACCCAAAATCCCTGCCAACAGCAAGCAGACCAAATGAATTTCAGATTTCTTTGCAATAACTGTTGTTCTTAGAATAAATCCCATGAAGGACTTATCATCTAAATGCTGTCCCAGTCACGAGAAATCATTATTTTCTTGGGAGTTATATTACCATCAATATAGAGTTTAATTTAATTCAGTTTGTTTCTCATTTTCAGAGATTGCTTTATATATACAAGTTTACTTGTAATACCTAAAATGTGAGAATGTAAGATTTTACATGGTTCCAAAATCAAAGCTATGTGGCAAAACATACGCAGCAGACTCACACCTCCAGACGTTCCCTCCACCCTCATTCCTTCCCTCTGCTCATGGGTGACTGTTTTTATGAGTTTTTTGGTTTATCCTTTCAGCATTTCTTTTTGCAAATATGAGCAGATACATATGCAAATTCATGTTCCTCTCCCCCTTTTACACAAGAGGCAGCCTGCAATGGATGTTGCCTTTTCTGCTCACCAGTCGATCCTGGAGATCTCTCCGTTCCCCCGTGTATCTTCCTGGTTCTTCCTTACAGCTGCAAATGTCCCCACTGTGCGGATGCAGCTCATCCACCCAGCCAGTGCTATGGGGGCCTGAGTTGACAGCAGTATATGTCCTCTGTGAGGGACACAGATGATACTTGAGTGAATATTCTTGGGCACGTGTTACTTAGCATGTGTCTAAGCAGAATTATTCAAGTGCAGTTGCAGTGTGTGCTGTGTTGCTTGTTTTCTAGTGAGACTGTTGCAAGCTTTGCCAGGAATAATTACACATCTCGGGGCCCCAAGTGCTTCCGTGCAGCTTCCATCCCCCCTCAAAATGTGAAGAATACCCCCAGAGACTGATCGTACCCCGTAGACGCTAGAACTATAGACAATAGAACCATACCTAGCATTTATCAGCTGGGGTCCTGACAGCCCCAAAATGTGTGTCAACTGGAGAGAATGGTCATGCAAGGGCCACGCACAGAGGTGAGGGGGCTCCGTGAGACCTGGTGTGTTGGTGTCCTGGGGCTGCTGTAGCAACTTACCACAGACCAGGTGGGTTAGAACAACTGAAGGATGCTCTCTCACAGCTCTGGAGGCCAAACATCCAAAATCAAGGCATTGGCGGGGCCATGCTCCCTCTGGAGGTTCTGGGAGGATCCCTCCTGTCCCGTCCAGCTTCTGGGGGTTGTTGGCCATCCCTGGCTCGGAGCTGCGTCACCCCAGCCTGTGCCTCTGTCTTCACCTGGCCCCTTTCTGTGTCTCCAGTCTCCCTCCCCTAACTCACAGGGCACCCAAGCTTGAATCGGGGGCCACCTCAATCCAGGGTGACTCCCTCTCAAGACCTTTAACTTCATTACATCTACAAAAACCCTATTTGCCAAAGGTCACAGTCACAGGTTCCAGAGGGACGTATCCTTGGAGGCCACCCTTCCACCCACCACACCTGGTGAGGCACCCTGGACGGACAAGAGCCGGGGCCTCGACCTGCCAGGCTGCAGGGAGCAGGGTGGGGCCCCAGCACTCCTAATGCTTGATGAGTGCCGGAGCCACTGGCGGGACGGGGGGGGGGGGGGGCCTGGGGGGGGGGAGCGCAGGCTTCTGCAGAGAATCAGCCTGGGTGGGGGCGCTGGGTGGGATGCTGGAGAGGTGTGGCAGGGGGGGGGGGGTGTGCCTGGCGGGAGCCATATCCCCCGAGGAGCCCAGCTACTGCCACTCCATGACGTGGGAAGCTGGGGGACGGCACCCCTCGGGACTGACCTCCTGGGCCCAGAGCAGGGCGGGTGCAGACCAAGCAGCCTCACGGGCACCACCCTCCCTGACAGCCTCGCGGGCACCTAAGCCAGCTCCCCGTCTCGGCGCCTCTCATTCCAGGCGGTCGACTATGAGCTGAACAGAGCGTTCATGCTGACCGTGATGGTGTCCAACCAGGCGCCCCTGGCCAGCGGGATCCAGATGTCCTTCCAGTCCACGGCGGGGGTGACCATCCCAGTCATGGACATCAACGAGGCCCCTTACTTCCCCTCGAACCACAAGCTGATCCGCCTGGAAGAGGGCGTGCCCACCGGCACCGTGCTAACCACGTTTTCGGCAGTGGACCCTGACCGGTTCATGCAGCAGGCCGTGAGGTGGGCCCACAGAGCACCCTCGGGCCCTGGGAAAGGGGAGCCCCATCTTCCATAGAGAAGAGTCCTGAATGCCCAGTGAAACCTGCAACCCAGAAAGTCCCGGGTGGGTGCTTAGGGGCATCCCCGACTTATGGTGTCCCCAGGCAGGGAAGCCCAGTCTGGGGACAGCTGGCATCACCGGCCGCCAGGCTGCCCTGACACAAGACGGTGGGAAAAGCTTGAAGGACATTCAGCTGCATCTAGAGTCAGGCTGGGTCCTGACCCCGCTTGACGCTCCTACGATTATGATTCTGTGAGTCACCGGCCCCCTCTGCCCCTCCGTCTCCCCACCTGTAAAGGGGGCAATGGGAGAATCTGCCCCCCAGGGTCCTTGTGAGGTTAAATAGCCCATCCTCCTTGGAGACTTCCAGCGCTGTTGCCACCGTCCCGCGTGGGAGGACCCTGTGCAGGGCTGCAGGGAAGGACACCCCCCAACCCCGCGCAAGCTCAGCAGGAGGGCGGCCAGGAGGGGCTCCCCCAGCCCCTCGCCTCACCCCTCCCCTCCCTCCCCCGCAGATACTCAAAGCTGTCGGACCCAGCGAACTGGCTGCACATTAATGCCACCAACGGCCAGATCAGCACGGCGGCCATCCTCGACCGCGAGTCTCTCTACATCAAAAACAACGTCTATGAGGCCACCTTCCTGGCAGCTGACAACGGTGCGCCCAGGGGCAGGGAGACACAGGGGGGCCTGCCCTCGCCCATTCGAAGCCCTGGGCTTGGTGGTTCACTGATGCAGGCGCCCAGGTCATTTGCTCGCGTGGGTGCCAGGGGAGCTGGGCACTGTTACCACCACTGTTACGACTCCCTGGGCTCCTGCCATGTGCCAGGCTCTATCCATCAGTGAGTAAAACAGACAAGAGCCTTCTCCTTTGCATGAGTGACATTCTAGAGGCCAGTGTGTCAGCTTGAACCAGGTTTGTCTGCATAATAATTATAGCAATCTTAACAAGATGGAGGTTTACTTTCTCCCACATAAAAGAAGACTGGAAGCAGGCAGCCCAGGGTCAGGTATGAGGAACCAAGCTCACTCTGGCCGCTCCCATGTCCTTGGCAAGCTGCAGCATGGCCCAGAACAGCTGCTGACGCTCCAGCCATCATGACCACATTCTGGCAAACAGGAGAGGGGAGGTCAAGGGCACATCCCAGCCCTTCTAAGGACTTCCACTCACAGCTCATGAAGGCCAGAACTCAGTCACGAAGCCACGTCTCACTGCAAGGGATGCTGAGGAATGTCATCTTCTGGTTGGGCAGTGATGAGCCCAGGTAAAGTTTGGGGCTTCAGTTCTTTTATTAAGGAACAAAGAGGAAATGGATATCAGGGACAACTCAGCAGTCTCTGCCCCAGGGAGACGAGTGTGAAACAAGTCAGCCAGATAATTTCAGGGAATGGGAGGTGCCAGAAAAGAACCAAATGGAGGATGGGAGAGTGACCGGGGTCTCCTGCTGCACTGTTGGCTATGAGTGACCTCCTGTGGGTCCAGGACCTGCGGGATTAGAAGGACAAGCCAGGGGAAGATGGGGTGGGGAGGGGCGTCCCGGAGTCAGGAAAGGGCACTCGCAAAGGCCCCGTGCCAGGCCCATGCCACATGGGTTCTGGGATCAGCTGCATAAATAAAGCTTCAGGAGCTAGAGTAGCCACTGCACAAAGGTTTGGTCAACAGCAGCTGAAAGCTGGGACCTGGTGACCATCCCGCAGCTTCCTGCCCACCTCCCTCACCTCAGGGGATCCACAGAGGCCCAGCCCCTCAGCCAGCCACGATGAGTGCCAGGCCCTGGTCGGGGAAAGCTGCTCTGAGCAGCAGCTAGAGCACTGAGATTAGATTAGAACGTGATTTTAATGAATCGGTGGCCAGAGCAGTGGAAAGCACAAGGAAGACACCGGAAACGGAGCACAAGTCCCGCTCGCATTAATAGAACCCGTCTGTGCTTCTCGTGACTGTGAGCTGTGTCATCGGCCACCTATCACATCAGGCACCAAGCTGCGTCGCCTTAAACGTGCTTTGATGCATTTCCTGGGAGATCACAGAGACGCACTATGGGATGGATGTTTTACATGCTCTGCCTGCCTCAGCCAAGAAACGCAGTTGTTAATGACGGGGTCAGAGTTGCCATCAAAGGGCAGGGCCACGGTCAGAACACAAAGGACAGACAGGCCACCTCTGGCCGCTCAGCGCTGGTCCACCTGCACTGTGCACCTGGGCCAAGGCAGGGGCTGGGTGTTGGCAGCGGGGGGGGG